CTTGTATCCTCCTTTTTCTACTCCCTCTTTTCGGCTGATTGTTCTCTCTACTCTCCCGTCTCCCGACCCCATCATACAGTTGTACCCACAAGTTCATTATCAAATCCACATTTGTTCTCTCCGGTGATATCAAACATACAGAAGCAGATCAGGAGACGAAAGAGTAAAAAGAACAATCAGCCGAAAAGAGGGAGTAGAAAAAGGAGGATACAAGGAGCAGAACTCCTGTCTGTGTTTGATGAGCGCCTCATTGATGCTACAAACGTCTGGGAGTCTCCATTCAGCGGGGGAGCCATTCAATTACACCTACAGCTCTGCTGCCTGATTGGAGTCCTCACGCAACAATGTTAGCCCCTCTGTACCAAACCGAGATGCGATTAAGATTTTTGGCCTCAGGAGACGGAGTGGCTTTCAAATCCTGATTGGCAATCATTTGTAACCCTGCTGGACAAGTTTTAATCCAACATTTCGCCCATCTGCAATGTTTCCTTTGATTTCTTTAACCTTGTTTAAATCTAGGCATTTGTGTTTTCCAGTTCGCCGGCTCTTAAATTGTTTCCAACACGTACAGCAGCCCAATCAACCACCCATGGTCTGTTACTTTTGATCACTGTAAGTTTAGCAGAATTTAGACACAGGAATCCTCTATGTTCACATTAGGCAGCATAGACTGGATTACCTGGACTGTTAGGCACAGTTTTCTGAGCAGCATCTTCCTTACAGTCTTCTTTGGCTTTGCAGCCTGCAGACTATATGTTTAAAATAGTACGTTTTACATCAATTGTTTGTTCATCGGTGTGCCTGATTCAATTGGCTGATTGTTTTATATAGAACTTCTTGGAAATTCATTGAAAATGACAGAAAATAAATCCTGTGGAAAAATAAGCCATATCAGTTGGAGCAGAAAACAAATATTTTTAGAGATTACTGCTTTTTAATACAAAAAAATTATAATTTTCTGTCAATTTGAACAGAAGCAGAAAAGTAACAAATATGGCAGACAGTTTAATATAAAGAATCATATACAGATTATAGGATGAATGTAGTTTTGCTATATTTGTATTGTAATTATTCCACTGTATGACTTTGAGGGTGACAGAGGAAGGAAAATGCACTAACCTGCTTCAGTATTTTAAAGTTCCCATGTTCTCCTTTAATGCCCTCCTTTCCCAACAAAGTCCCCCATCTAACAAAAAACAGCAGAAATTAGTCGGTGATCTAAGCTCTGTGTATTAAATGAAACAATTGCGCTCTCTGTCAAAGTGTTTTACTGACGTACTACTCCTACAGGCCAGCAGCAGGTAACTTTGAGGCATTATGTTGCCTGTGACTGATTTATATAGGCAACAAACTCTCCGTAAGTCTCCCTCTTACCCTCTCATGTGGTTTTACAGTAGTGACATTGATCCAGGCAGTCTTTGATCTTGCTCTTGGCTGTTGCTCCATCTCGCCATCTTTCTCTGTCTGTTCCCCAGTGGCCATACTCTGCTGCTTTTAACTCCAACAACCCCTCGTCTCATTTTATAAATCCTCCATCTTCCATCTCTCCATCTTACTGGTGGATCTGTGTCTATAAGTGTTTGTTACCTCCGCTCAACTCCTTGTGATGTAGACGATGTGTCGCGCTTTCATCAGCTCCTGCTCTTATATGCTTCAAGCTGAATGACCACTTGTTTATGATCCTTTGGACCATACCTGTGTCTCACGTTACCTTTTATTTGGATGTTTCAAGTCAACCAATAAGCAGCAATTTGATTGAGGATTAAGGTGCCACCCCTCTCCAAAAAAGGCCTGCTAGGGTTGAAAAAAAATATCAAATTTAGTCACACAGAACCATCTTTATTCATATACAGTCCCTCGTTTATTGCGGGGGATCCGTACCCTGAAGCCCCGTGATAACTGGAAAACTGCGAAGTAGGACTAGTAGTAAAAGTAATAAGTAGTAGTTTATTTTAGTATATATATATATATATATATATATATATATGCGTTTTATACCCTCCCCACACTCTTGCAATATTCTAAACAATGTTTCTAAACTTTAAACGCTCTAAAAAAGCACAGAATGCCATGATTTCTGCTCTCTGCCACCTGCAGCTCTTGGCCACGCCCACTTCTCCGCTGCAGAGCGGCGATCAGCTGATCAGCTGCAGGAGGAAGCTTCTCCTGCAGCTTGGACTGCACAGAGGTGCAGGACAAAGCTTTTTCTGAAGCTATGGGCTGCACAAAGGGGCAGCAGGTGCTAAATAATTAAAAACAATTCATTTTAAACAAAAAAAATCCATGATGATCATGCGGCTCATCCACCAATCAGCCAGTTGTGTGTCCAATCTTGTTTTGAAAAACTGCGATAAAGTCTGTGAAAAATGAACCACTAAGTACTACTGGATCTTGAAAATCAGTTTTAATTTGTCCAGGATTCCAGATTCCAGAAAAATTAGGATATTACTGGAATGGGACTGTTCCAGCTTCTTTTAAGTTTATTTTTTATAGGGACTGTGGTTTGTTTCTTGGTGTCTAGCCCCATCTTGTGTTGTGTTTATGTTCTGTTTTCTTCTGATACTTGGTTTCTGTTTGTTATAGGGTTTGTATTTTCCTAGTGTATGCCTCCATCTGGTGTTGTGTCTCTGTTCCTGCACTCCCTGGTTTCCCAGTTTATCATTTCCCCTGATGTGTTTCAGCTGTGTGTCCTCACAGATGTTTTGTCTAGTTAGTCACTGCATATAGTCTGTGTTTTTGTGTTAGTCCTTTGTCCTGGTATTGTAAGCTGTCCACTGGTGAAGTCCTGTTCTGCTCCTTGTGGCTCATAAGTCTTGCTGCCCTGACAGCCTTTTGTTTTGGTAAATAAATTATTTTATTATTTATTCCTCCTGAGTCTTGGACTGCCTGCCTGCACCACTGGGTTTATCTACACCAGCTGCGTTACAACATTAAAATATATATATATATTTCTATATATTCTGATTTCCATAAAAATTGGGATGAATTTTTATCATTAAAATTTATTTTGTTTTATAAAACCACATTGCAGTTGTGTAATAATTGACCAGAGATAAAAATGTGGAACCAACAGTTTATTGACACTTTACATCTTGTTTAGTTTTATTGTATTTTTAACTTGCACGTTTGTTTCATGTGCTATATTTGTGTAATTATTTGCATTCTGTAGACTTTTTTCTAATATGTTTAAAGATTATTTTGCATCTGCAAAAATTAAAAATGTATGACTTACAGGATTATGCAATCCAATTTAAAATGTTTTTAATTGGCTAACCATCACATAGCACATTTAACTGTTTAGTATTATCACTCATCTTTGTCTGATAAATATTCGTAAAGCCCTTTGGTCTCAATAAATACATCAATAAAGGTAGGTAAATCAATTGGTAGACCAATTAGTTTGCTGATATTTGTCAATTTTGTTTAATAATTGGTTATTTTATTGGTCAGTCATGCCTGTGCATAATTAGCAGAAAAACGAGCCTCCTGTAGTCAGTCCACTGCTCAGTTCTATTAAGTGTTTACACTCTATTTTATTTTCTCCTAGGTTTGTTTTAAAATACATTTTCATTTTTGGTTATAAAGGTTGGCAACTATTGAGTAATTGTTGTTTTAATATTATTTTATTTGCATTGCAAATGTATCTGCCTTTATTTCAAAATAACTGTGTCACGTAGAGTATGGCTTCCTCCACAGTTATATTGTGTTCTTGGAGGTCACAGCTCTGTTTTTCCAGGGTTCATTAGTACACCAACAAACAAACTAGATTTGTTGTGTTTAAATCATAAATGTCTCAAGTCATTACAGTAGATTCACTGATTATTGTCATCAAAACCTCAGTCTGACTGTTTTACAGTTTTATGTCTTTTTGTCATTTTGCAATTAAAAGCACAATTAATATAAAATACACACTCCTGTATTTTAGGACTTGGCAATATTTTGTATTGAGGTTGTTTTAAATGAATATTTGTGTAAGTCTTGATAAATGAGGAGCAATGCTAAAATGGGTTGCACCATAAAAAGACAACATGTGTTGCATTAAAGCCTCATGTTCTGTTATACCAAAGCTCACAACTCTCTCTGGCTGTGTCAAATGTAGGGAGTAGGCCTGCAGTTTGAGTCTGCAATTTATTGGCACCCTTTGCTGTATTGATATAGCGCACATCATTATTGCAATTTTGATCAGTTTTTGATATACTGAGCAGCACTTGTGCAAATTAAGTGTTTGCCTATTGAAGAGTCTGAGTCATTTCCAATCAGGACTGTAGGAAAAGCATCCTAAATGATGACCTGATTGCATTTTATTGCACTGCTTTACTACAATTTAATCTCACTGTGAAATTTGTGACTTCAAATTTTGGATTACCCATGGCTTAAAACAGAACCACATGACGCTGCACAGAGACCTTTTTTTTTTACAGTGTATTTCAAATAGGGTATCTATTTTGTGTGTTTTCTTTGTGTACATGTGTATGTTGGAGGCATGTCCCTGTACACTGTGCAGCACGCTTTGTTTAGTACAGAAACTCTTATTCATACACACAGAAAAAGCCCGTGCTCAGTGGGGATCCTGAAGCCTGCTTTTATCTTGGCAAAGTGATTTACTTCCAGATTACTCAAGATGCCCCGAGTTGCTCTCTCCCTTATATTTTCTTCACTATCCCCCCTCATTATCCCTTCATCTTTGAAAACTTGCCTTTGTTCAGATGTGTAACTAGCACCTGTGCCTTGTTTTGTCTATTATTTTACACCTTTTGCATTCACATCTCATTTGCAGAACCAGTCGTTCTTTTTTCTTTCCTTCTCTTTCTCGTTTCCTCTCCCTGTATGTTTTTTTCCCTTCCCATTTGTTCTCTACAGGTTTGTAAATGATGTAATGAGAGAAAGTGAGAGGAGATGATAAAAGAGGAGTGCAGAAGATGAGTTCCTAATAATTAATCTTCCATTCTTGTTACTCTCAGGGAGAGAGACGATAAGAGGAATGGCTTTGGGAGAAAAACAAAGTCAAGAAGGATTTGAAGAGAGCAGCAGTAATGTTGAGGGGAAGACATTTGGAACAGAGGTTCGATCCTCATTTAATAATTGAATAATCATCTCCCTGGAGACTTGACCTAGAACTGGCAGAGGCGGAGCTAGGCAGAGGCAGGTTAAGGGTGAGACACTGCTGCCCCCTTGTGATGTTCAGGTGCCACCGTCGTAACTTCTGAGCGGGGCCGATGAGTGAAAGTGTGTGAGCGCGCACAATCATTGGTGTGTGGATGATTTACAACTGCAACCTGTCTGTGTCACCCAGATATGGGCCTGTGCCTGTGATGAGGAGAAAAGGAGGGCTTTTGGATGTCAGGAAAGAATGTATTTCACTCTGTCACATGCACACATGTTCGTATACCCCCACACGTCTCCTCGCAGTCACAGACCTTATCTTCTTGTCAAGCAGAGTCTTTTTTAGGGATGACGCTGATGTATGAGCTTTGAGGGAGGGTGGGGGAGAGTCGTTGCCAGCGTGGTGACGGCTGACGCGAGTGTGGCGTTGCGTTCAGGTTGATGTACGAGCACCGGGGTTATGGGACAGTGCAGCGCTGACGCCAGGAGAAGGGCCCTGTGGCCCTGGAGCCCGTTCTGAAGAGCAAGCTCCACATTGTTGGCATGCATCAGCCCAGCAGCCACAAATACACACATGCGTACACACACACGCGTTTTGTTATTAATACCTCAGTACCTGTCAAACAAAGAACTGCTTGACGTCGTGCGAGCGTTGCAGCTGAAAGCATCCAAAGACAACACACTCTGACTTGTTGTTTTTGGAGTGTTGTTCCTTTTTTCTTCTAGTTCATAACTAAACAAAGGACTTAAAATGTAACACCTGAAAGACAAGCTTGTACTCTGTAGGATCCTTTTGCAACTGTACCTGAAAAAAAAAAACATTAGTTCTGGCAAGAAATAAATACATTTAACGCAACATTCCCATAGACATTGTCTTCACGAGTGGGCACTGCTAGACATTCTGACTCCAAGCCAAGTTTCTTTGGGTTCACACTGGAACACTGTGAAACTGGTGTAAACAAATCATGACACTTCAATTTCATTAGCAACTTTTAGCCTCTACAGCGACAGAAACTATCGAGTAAAAGTCTTGTGTGCGTCTAAAAATAATGCACATTATTTTGGTTGTAAAGCGAGTTAGCATATAAAACATCAAGTTGGAGCACATGTGAGGCACTAATACCTCTATTCAGTCAGATATTGTTGCGCTTTTAGAACTAAACATAGTAAATGTTTTGTATGCGTGTGACTGGCGTGTGAGCATGAATGGTACCGTGTAAACACATTGTACGTATCTGTTTGCAGAACACAAGAACAAACATAACCAGACAAAAGATGTAAATCTGACTTGCTGCAAAATGAGCTAACGATGTCTTGTGATTTGTTTGTTCTGAAAAACCAAAATATGTGAAAGAACAACCTCAGTTTGATGAAATTGTGTTTAGTTCTGACCAGTATGATGAGCTAATTGTTGCTCCAACAAGCTAGCAGCTGGTCAGAGCTGCATCAGTCTGGCCAGAATAAAATTCAGTTTCTCTTTACTGAGGTCAATAAAATAGCTTCCACTTAAGAAAGAATTGTTCCTGAGCATGAACTGTAAGAGTCTTTATCGTTTTCAGTTTGCATATGGAGGGACACACCATGACGGTGAACGTCAACGACTACCTGGACATCTACTGCCCTCATTACAACGACAGCCAGCGCATGGTGGGCACCGGCGAGCAGTACGTCCTCTACATGGTCAATCGCCGTGGCTACAGGAACTGTGACCCCCAGCTGGGCTTCAAGAGATGGGAGTGCAACCGGCCTCATGCTCCCCACGCGCCCATCAAGTTCTCTGAGAAGTTCCAGCGCTACAGCGCCTTCTCGCTGGGCTACGAGTTTCACGTCGGCCAGGAGTATTACTACATCTGTGAGTGGTGTAACATCCGCCATGTTAGCATGTTTATTACACTGAATGTTGCAGGGAGGGGGGAAGATGAATTTGTTGCAGAACTCGAGCAGGAAAATAAGTTCTGCTTCACATCTACATCTGTAAGCAATAATAAGAGACAGGGACCCGACAACATTTGTGGTCGGTTGCTTAAATATCGCGCCAAATAACTGAGCCCGATTTTCTATCAGATTTTTAATAGCTCTTTGCCGTCCCAAAATGTTGGAAGGATGCTGTGATTGTCCCTGTCCCCAAAACAAACTGTCCTAAAATCCTAAATTACTTCAGACCCATTGCTCTGTTATCAATTGTGAAGAAAACTGTTGAAAAACTTGTCAGGTCTGAAATCTTGGAGAAAATAGATAATGATATGGATCCTCTGCAGTTTGCTTATAGACCACACAGACGAGTAGAGGGTGCCACCGTTTTTCTAATGAACCTGCTTTTTAAGCATCTGGAAGGAAAAAGATCACATGCATGACTTATATTCATTGATTTTTCATCTGCTTTTAACACCATCACATCTTAGTAGATCGACTTTTAGAGTTTGACATTGGTTCTGATCTTATGGGTCGGATTTTAGACTTTCTAAGGAGCAGGACACAGAGAGTGAAAGTGAACGGCTTTTTGTCCGAGCAGGTTTGCTCCTCCACCGGCTCTCTGCAGGGATGTGTTCCGTCACCTCTCCTTTATATCCTCTACACAAACATGTGCCGTAGCAGCAGGGAAGACAGAGTCATTTTAAAGTATGCAGATGATGCAGTCATTGTTAGCTGCTTAATGAGGAAGAAACAGGACACGGCCCCGTGATGGAGGACTTCAGTCAGTGGTGTGATGAATCCTATTTGCAGATGAATATTCCCAAAACTAAGGACATGAGTATTGCTTTTAGAAAACACACTAAGGCACAGGAAACTACTCTTCTAAAGGGGCAGACTGTGGAAGTTGTTAACACCAAATACAAATATCTGAGCACAGTTACTGACAGTAAACTGACCACTGAGGCAAACTGTGAGGCTGTTTATAAGAAAGGGAACCAGCACCTGTTTTTCCTCAGGAAACTTTCTCCTTCCACATTGATAAAAACTATATTTTATCGAGCTTTTACTAAATCGGTTTTGTCTTACTGCTTGGTGTCCTGGTTTGGTGTTTTAACTCTTAAAAACAAGAACTGCCTGAATCAAATAGTCAAATGGTCCAGTAAGTTGATGGGTGAGATGCAGCTAAGCCCAGTATCCTTGTACTTCAGGCAGGTGCAGAGGTGATCCACATCCATTTTAACAGATGTGTCTCATCCTCTTATTTTATTATTATTATTAACATTTATTTAATCAAGCAAATCCCATTGAGATCACAGATGTTTTTTTACAAGGGAGGCCTGGGCCTGAAGGCAGCCCAACATGCATGTTTTTTGGTCTGTGGGAGGAAACCGGAGTACCTGGAGAAAACCCACACAAGCACAAGAAGAATATGCAAACTCCACACAGAAAGACCACAGGTCCAACCGGGGATTGAACCTTCTTGCTGTGAGGCAACAGTGCTAACCACTGAGCCATCATGCTGCCCTGTCAAGCCTCTGCACTGCGAGTCCAGGCTTCGCCCATCAGGACGCAGATAAATTCCCAGATGTAAAACTAAAATTAATTGGTATAAAACCAGTTTTGTTCCTGTTGCCATAAGCTTCCAAAATTGGACTTAAAATAGCACCGAGCCATTTTTTAAATCATTTTTAATCATGTTTTATTTATTTTTTATACCCGGTACTTATTGTGTGTCTATGTCAAGTCTCCTGTCTGTCAAAAAAGCTGACTCACCTCACTGTAACCAAATCTACCTAATGGTATGAATAAAGTTGATTGATTGATTGATTGATTGATTGATTGATTGATTGATTGATTGACGTCTGATCACATCGACTTGCACTGAAGCAGCTTGATTCATTCTGTTGACTGTTTATCAAATTAACTTGCTTCTTGTGCTGAGATGACATTATATGCATAATGAACTTTTAGCTTGACACAAAGCAATTCAAAAGTAAATATTAACAAACTAAATAAGTGTTGGGCTCATTCAGGCTACATTACCATTTAAAACATGGTTTCAGAATGCACTATAATAAGAAAGCTACAATACATATTCCTCAGTTTTTGTTTGATTCTCCGCTGGCTTTTGTTTGCAAAACCTCCAAAAGCTGGCAATGCTCAGATCAAAGATATTTCACTTGTAAAAGTAGCAAATCTGGTTAAAATATTCAAATTAAACAACCCTGAACCTCAAGCGAAGGCTTGACCTATTTTCTTGCTTCCCTTCAAATCCTGCGCGGCTTTAATAGATCATGTTAACAGCAGACGTTTTAACTTGACACAGCAGGAAAAAGCACAGGTGTTGTTTTTACTATTAACAAAGGCTCTGTTCTATTTAAGCGTCCCAGAACGCCATGATGCCTGTCAGTCGCAGACATTAAACAGAAACCAAAGCAGCTAAATGGGACGCAGCTAATTTCATTATTTACACCTGTGACATTTGTTTCGTTCACTATTACATGTCAAAATAAGCTGTGATACAAAGAGCTTATTTAAAGTCTTAGAAAGTGTTTTTAATACTTTCTTTTTATTCGCATGGTTCTTGTCACATTATTGGATTTTCACTATTATTATGATCCAACCCACTTACAGTAATGGGCTTTATTTATAGTAAATGCAAAGAGTTGAGCCTATACTGGTTTGTTGTGCTCACCTTGTTTCACATGTTACCATAACCAGATATTTTACATTAGTTATATTCAAACACTCAGATGAATGGAGCTTTTTCCTACGATGGAGGATAATGTCATTTAAACAAAACAAAAAAAGAGTCAAACAGGGAAAGTTTTTAATTGTTGTGCACAGATTTGACATTAACGTCATTGTAGTGACTTGTTCTTAACCAAAGAAAACAAAACAAACCGAAGCCTAACCTAACGAACTAACCTGCTCATCATGGTTAAGAACAAGTCACAAGGAGAAAGTCAAAAACTGTGTGTTTCCGCTGCAGTCAGCACACCTGCTGGGAGGTTACCTGTGACTCCATTTAATCATACATGATGCCACCCACTGTGACTTTCAGGTATTACACCAAACTAAAAATAAATACATAAACCCCAAAAATATGGCTCTAATAGTCATGATGTTGAAATTAATAGTAGAATAAAATAACGTTGTTACATTTCCAATAAAGTTAAATCATTAAGATAAAACCAAACCATATGTGACGTATAGACCGATATAGTTTTAAATACAAAATTAGATCACAACTTTATATTTATACGTAAACATTGGTGCATTCCTGCAAGAAGAAATAATCAAGATGGACACGATGGTCCTCAAATTGTAGATTTTTTTTTTTCTTGACAAAGCATCTTAACCTTTTTTGTGACTTTCAATCATTTTTCTTGAATGTATGGAAAGATGTTCTCTCAATAATTTTATTTTATTTATTTCTTAGATTGACCAAAACTTGGTCAAAGTTCTCCCCCAAGTAGAAGTGACCATTTGGTGTTTTAGGCAACCAGCAGCACCTGTGTGTGACTAAGGTGTTTATTCTAGGGATTTTTAAGAGGTGCATTGGTAATTTGTAAGGTTAAATAATAAAAATTAGAAAAATAAAAAAAATGCTGGTCACAGCGCCACAAGAAACCATAACTGCCACCAAACTAATCAGATTTTTTTTTTTTTTTTTTTTTTTTTTTTAAGCTTATTTGCTGAAAAGGCTTTGGATTATTTTAAGTTTAGAACTATATCCATCTTCCAGCCCTTATGTGGGATTTAACTCTAACCAGAAATTCTGTGAAATATGTTTCAGGCAAGTTGCTTAGAAGAAATGTGGAGAATTGGTTTGATAACAATACAAATAGGAAAATAAAAAGTCATTACAGTCAAAATAAATAAAATATTTTGTTTTTAATTAAAAAAAAAATCAATAAGTCAACTACATATCCAACAAAATGGCCCAATTTTACACATTCTAAATTTATACTTTAACACTTCAAAGTAGGATGCTTAATAATTCCATGAATAAAAAGAAGACTCGCGTAGAATTGCAAAATTCAATGTTTTAATTCTTCTCAAAATCTGTATAAACTTTGTTTTTGCTTCTTCATTTTGACATTTTTTATTTGTCCAAATTTGTAAAAATATCAATAAATGTTTAAATTAGTTTTTAGAGAAGGCTGGACAAGCCTCCCTCCAACAAACTCAAAGTGGCCCATGGGCCTTCACTTGATACAACAGGTGTTGCTGCTCTGGACACATGGTGGGAGAGAGAAGGGAAACAAATGGTTCTTTTTCTCTAAAAGGTCACAGACCTCTGATTGAGATCCTAATCTCATTTATGAGTAAAATAATTCTTTTTTTGTTGCTGTTGTTTCCCCCTGCTGTGTGTGTTCATGCTGTTTTGTAGATCAAATATAAAAACGCCAGTCAACTGTGGAAATATATGTTTCTGTATTTACAGCCACACCCACTCATCATCACGGACGCAGCTGTCTCAGACTACGAGTGTACGTCTGCTGTCCCACCAGTAAGTACTATAACTACCCCCCCCCCCCCACACACACACACACACACACACTCATTTCATGCCCTTAAACACTTCCTGCACAGACTCTTTCACAACCTCAATGCAGCCCAAAAGAATCAGAGCTAATTTTGACTCCTGCTGACTATCACCATCCTCCTCTCTTTTTCACCATCTTATTTTTTCAGTATTCTACTCTCTTCTCCCTCTGAAGCAGCAAAACGAAGCTTCTCCTGCTTTGAAGGCTCTCATCTTCACTTCCTTCCTGTCCTCTTCCTCCCTCTTTTCTGCTCTTTCACCCTTCCTCCACCGCTCCCTGTCAGAATCCATTAATTGCAGTGAGCGGTCAGTGGGCGGCTGTGTATGTGTACTGTGATGCTCTCCCAGTCTCCTCACACACACACACACACACACACACACACACACACACACACACACAC